GTAAATCATTTCATTGAAATGTGGAAATATAACATTAAAATTTTTGTGTATATAAATAGAAAAATATAAGTTTCTGTAATATTTGCTGAAGCCTGACACTGACATTCTTACATGTCATCATTGTATGTAATATTAGCTGAGGAGAAACTGGAAATTAAACAACACAGAAGGACTGACTTCACTAGTTTGCTTATTTTCCACATGTTGCAATATATTGAACTTTATAAATGCCAAGTTAACTGGATTATATTATCTAGTTATAGCTATACTACCAGCACAACAGGATTTAGGCAGAATCATGTAAAGAAATCAGTTTAAAGATAATACTAATAATGTCAGCCAACAAAAGTAAAAAACAAAAATGGTAATTTGGCTTTTTGTAAACTATAAATATTAATAATTAAAAATTAGTGCAGATAAAGCCTTTGACAAAACTCAGCACCCATTCATGATTTAAAAAAAAAACTATTGAAGAAACTAGGGATAGAAGGAAACTACCTCAATATCATAAAGGCTGTATGCAAAAAAAACCCAAAGCCAACCTTATAGTAGATGGGGAAAAACTGAAAGAATTTCTTTCAAAACCTGTAACATGACAAGGAAGTCCACTCTCACCATTCCCCTTTAACATGGTATAGAAATTCTAGCCAGAGCAATTAGGCAAAAGGGATTAAAAATAGGAAAGAAAAAGGTCAAATTATCACTGTTTACAAATGATATGATTCTATAATTATAGATCAAAAAATGCCACCAAAAGACTAGTAGAGCTAATGAACAAATCTAGCTAAGTAGCAGTTACAAAATCAACCTATAAAATTCAGTAACTTCTACATACACTACAAATGAATCTTCTGAGAAGAAATCAAGCAAACAGTCCCATATACAGTATTCTCCAAAAAATCTTTTAAAAACCTAGGAATTAAATCAAGGCAGTGAAAAACCCCTACAATGAGAATGATAGAAATTGAAGACAACACAAAAAAATTGAAAGACCTCCCATGGTTGTGGATAGGCAGAATTAATATTGTTAAAATGGCCATACTACCAAAAGCAATATACAGATTCAGTGAAACCCCATCAAAATACCAATGACATTCTTCACAGAACTAGAAAAATAAGTCTTAAAATTCAAAGCATTTCTAATTAAAAAAAAAAAAGCAACGCTGGAGGCAGCACAATACCTGACTTCAAATTATACTAGAACTTAGTAACAAAAACTGTTTGGTACTAGCATAAAGAGGGACACAGACTAGTGGTAAAGAATAGAAGACAGAAACAAACCCACACAGATACAGTCATCTGATCCTTGACAAAGGTGCCAAGAACATACATGGAAGAAAAGACAACTTTTTAAACATATGGTACTAATTATTTATACCTAGAAGAATGAAACTAGATCCCTATCTCTGACCTTGCACCAAAGTCAATTCAAAGTCCTCAGAATTAGACCAGAAAGTTAGTGATTTACAGAGAAAATGTAGGATCAACACTCCAGCATCTAGACACAGGCAACAACTTTCTCAGTAGGACTCCTAAAACTCAAGAAATAATGCCAAGAGTTAATAATTAAGATGGCACCAAATTTAAAAGCTCTTCACAGTAAAGGAAACAAGAATGTGAAGAGAAAACCTAGAGAATGCGAGAAAAATCTTTCCTAGCTCCTCTTTAAACAGAGGATTAATATCTGGAATATAAAAGAATTCCAGAAACTTAACACCAAAAAAAAACTTTATTAACAAATAGGCAAATGAATTAAACAGACACTTTTCAAAATAAGAAATACAAATATATGAAAAAATGTTCAGTATCCCCAGAAAGCGGGGAAATGCAAATCAAGACTATGCTGAGATTTCATCTGCACTCCAGTCAAAATGCCAGCCGTCAAGAATAAAAATAGTAAATGCTAGAGAAGATATGAGAGAAAAGGAACAACTTTATACTCTTGGTGGAATTGTAAATTAGTACAACCACTATGGAAATCAGTGTGGAGCTTCCTCAGAAGACTAGAAATGGAACCACCGTATGAACCACCACCATCTATATCACTCCTTGGTATTTATCCTAAAGAATTAAAGTCATCATTATATAGTGATACATGCATACCCATGTTTATATCAGCACTATTCATAGTAACCAAACTATGGATGGAATAAGCCTAGTGTCTGTCAAAGGCTGAACAGATAAAGAAAATGTGGTATATAAACAAAATGGAGTTTTATTCATCCATAAAGCAAAATTATATTGGCCAAATTATATTGTTATATTGTGCATGTGAATATGAAACAACAGATTCCACTATGATGTACTACTATAATGCACCAATTTTTTAAATATGGGAAAAAACAAATCAAATATGCTAGGAAGTCAGATAAAAACAATTAGAAATTATCAAAAACTTATTTGAAATTTATATTCTAAAATATCACTAATTTATTTTTATCTCATCCTTTCATGTTTTAAGTATTCATAATACAAATGAATAAAATTAAACATATATAAGCAGCAAAATGGGAATGTTCTTGATTAAAGAGGTTAGACTTTAACCATACTGATGCCCAGGTGAGTCTGAGTAAACAGCCTGATGTAGAGCATACCATTTAACATTACTCAATTATTAAAATGGAAGAAACAGAATTTCCTTCCAGCTAAACCCTCATAGAACCTTTATCACCAGATTTACTAGGATATGCCAGAATTAATTTCTTTTTCTGCTCAGTTTATTGTGCTGTCTCATTCTTATACTAATAAACTCAGAAATTCTTAAAAGTGGGCAATAGATAAGAAAAAGGGGTATTTTAGTCAGCTTTTTCACTGCTGTGATGTAAAGGTCTGCCGAAGTCTGGCTTGGCACAAATCAGGAGCCACTTGTCAAAAAGAAACTAACTTTATTTTTAGAACTACAACCGCCAAACAAAACAGCTCCAGGGAAAAACCCTCAGAGCCCAACTGCCACCACCGGCTTCCACAAGCCTCTCTCCCCCACACCAGCCTTTTCCTCCCACAATCCTCCTCCTCTTGAGGCCGATTGGCTGGGTTGCGTGGGCAGAGCCAAAGAAGTCACCCAATGAGCAGCTCCGTGGAGGAGCCAATCAGCTAGATGTTGCTGGGGCAGCTGTGAGCCAATCATCAGCTGGCAGTCTGAAGGGCAGGGAAACAGCCCAATGAACATCACCGCAGAGGAGCCAATCAGCTAGATGTTGCTGGGGCAGTCTGAAGCTTGCTGGCAGCTGGAAGTTTGCTGGGGCCCCTTTGGCTGTGGCTCTCAACATCTCCCCCTCTCTGTTTAAACAACAAGCATGTGGCTTATGGACCGTGCCTGCCTTAGGTTGTCCAATACATATGGTCCTTACCCGTCTTCGGATGAGCTGACCTCAGGGCGTCAGCCTCCTGTCTTAGGTTGGTACCATTGTAATTGGATCTTACCCGTCATTGACTACCGGTCCAGTACAGCCACACCTGTGGAGAGGTCTCAGGGGGGGGGGGGTGAGGTTCTTTGCCTCACCTCTGTTGACCCCCAAATTTTAGCTGAATGATCATGACAAGCAGAAGGGAGGAAGATATACCAAGTCAATTGACGGTTCTGTAAGCAGTTCAGTGTAAGTTCTGTAAGCAGTTCAGTGATGGCTATTGCAGAAACTGTAGATTAGTTTTATCTTTGTCTTCACCGGCACAGGGATGAAGATAGGAATTCTGGCAATAATGACTAAAGAAAAAATTAGGTAACATTCCAGAAGACACTAAAAGAAAACAATTTTCTTAACAATTTATATTATCTTCATCGAAGGTCCAACCAGAAAAATGTGGAGGAAGAAAAGTTTGTTTGGGAGCTCATGGTTTCAGAGCTCACATGATGATCAGGAAGCAGAGAGAGACTCCACGTGTCAGATACAAATATATACCCCAAGCCACACCCCAATCCCATCTTCTCCAACCGTACCCTACCACTCAGTTACCATTCAATTAATCCCAATCAGGGGATTAATTCAGTGATTGAGTTAAGACTCTCACAGGCCTATCATTTCTCCTCTGAACCTTCTTGCATTGTCTCACATGTGAGCTTCTGGAGGACACTTCACATCCAAACCATAATAAAAGGTTAATAATGAGGTTATCACACAAGAGTGAGATCCTAAATAGAATAAGGAATTTTAATGTATGTATATTCTTGCAAAATACATTCTATTATCATGTAAAACTAAAAATAAAAAAATACATCCTAAAAAATAACAATAATCAGGTTATTAGTCCCTAGAAAATCGAATTTTGTTTTTTAAATGCCTTAGATATTTTATGTTGATCAACTAACAAAAACAGCTTACCATTGAGGAAGTTTATACTTGAGCTCTAGATAATTAACATCCAACTACACAGAGGAAAAAAAAGCCCAAAATTTCACAAGATATAACATTTCTCAGAAATTTAAGAAGGGACTATACTTTTGATATTTGCATTTTATGTACAAACCAATCTCCTACAGGGACCCTAAGATGAAAATTAAAGTTAAATTTCCTTGGAGTTCCATACAACATGTATTTATTCAGTCCTAAAACAAAAGACATTTTTCTCATAGAACTTTGCTCAAATAACCAGACTGATGTTCTCAGAGTATAAGAACACAGGTTAAGCTAATGATTGGAAGTTAGTTATAGCAGTTGTAATACCTGAAATTCTAAATGTTCTCATGTTAAAATAGTTAATTTGATACACAAATTTTGACATGCTCAGATGGTATAGATGAGAAATCTGAGACCTAAAAACATGAATAACTTGACCCAAGTAAATAACAGAACTCAATTAGTCTGCTGTTCCTTCCCTTAATGCGCTGATCTGGAAGAGACTTTGGATAATTGTTTGTAATTAAAAAAAAAACACTGGGAACATAACCTACCACTCATGAATCAAAATATGCTTTGCTCATGGTACTGTGTTCATAATGCAGCTTCCTTTATGAGCACTTATCTGAATTAAATGAGGTTTAAAATACTTTGTCCATAATCTAGGTTTCCACAGACGGGCAGCTCCAGTTACAAGAAGGCAGTTCCCACATGGTGCACACAGGATGGATTACCTGCACTTTGAGGATGACAGCCGTGGATGGTGGTTTGATATGGATATGGTGATCATCTATATTTATTCAGTGAACTGGGTCATTGGATTCATTGTTTTCTGCTTTCTTTGCTATTTTTTCTTTCCGTTTTAGGAATTGTCATACCTTACTTCAGTGGAACAATCATAAATGTTGTAAACAATAAATGCTTAAACATTTTTGAAATGTGCTTTGAAGTTTTTATAATGTTGCATTATATAAATTGTTGGTGTTTATAGAAGGCTTGAAAATAATGGATTTATTTATTAATGTTTTTCATGTAGCAAACTTCTATCCAGCACAAAGGAACAATGCACTGTTAATTTCATAGTTCATGGGTTTAGGATTTGGAGGTCTAATTTTACAGTGTCACTTATGTTATTTTGATTGTAAAGACTGATTTTTCCCTCCACTTAAAAACAGTAAAAAATGCAAAATGAAATGGTAATCTGGGTAGATAGTATCTTTATTGATAAGATATTTAATTGATGATTTATTCTTAGGCAAATGATATGCATCAAAGATAAACCATATTCTCTGGAAACTAATCTAACAGGGTATGTATTCCAGTTTGGTTTCCAATTATCTGTACTTGTGCCCCGTTCTATTACCAAAAAAAAAAAACCCACCTGACTATACTTTGTACAGACCTAATAATACCTTCAATATGACATTTTTAATTATTATAAGCAACAGATTAGTAAATACAAGCAAATAATGAGACTTCCCCACCAATAGATAGTTGGAAAGCCATATTAACACTTCCAATTTCAGGTTGAATCACTTGAAGAAATAAAAAATATTACTGACTTTTAGAAGAGCAATGCATGTCCAAAATGTAATTAATTTAGTGATTTATTTAGGAAATTGTCAAATATATTATAAATGTGCAATAAAGAGTGACTTTAAAATTTTTTTATTGTAATTGATTTAATGTCTGGAATAAAGAACTGACATTTACTTTTATTTGTATTAATATTTATAATTATTTTTTTCCTTATTATAAGAAAAAGATATCTGAATTATTCTAGTGTGGGAAGGATTTGGGCAGATATCCCAATTTCAAAAATTAAAAAAGCAAAGCAAAAAGGCACTCAAATTTATTCATTTATTCAGGTGGTTTTGGAGAAATCTAGGACAAAAGTTTTGATTATGAATTACTAATCCAAAATTCCTATGGTGTGGCATCATATATCTAATAGTTAAATAAGTTAATTTTATGTAAAATATGTGACTCTCTCATGGCATTACAATACTACCACCATTCAGAATAAAATGAGACACATATGACTTCACCAGTTAAGTTTAAGAGAAGTCAAAATTTGGCCTAATTAATATTGACTGCATTTAAAGATAAGCACTTGACTGATGGTATGTGATGTTCAAAGAAATATGGAAATATGGATGAGTGGAACAGATTTTTATTCTAATACTATTCTGATTGTGTTTAAAACATCCGTGGAAGAAAATAGTGTACATTAGATATCAAATCTAGAAAGCAGACAATTGAATAAAATTTAGAAACAGATAATTTATCTTTACAAATGGATATTTAAAAGCACTAATTTATTACTCAAATATAAGGGAAAATATCAGCCCTTCTAATATCTATATATATAAAATCAGGATTAAAAAGTTAAAACAAATACGAACAACATTTTAAGAACTTTAAAATAAATTGGAGTGATTTCCTAGGCAAATCCTGGCCTAGGATATCATAAAGAATTTATTTAAAACCCATAATTCAAACTTCTTACTGTTTTTTTTAGTAAAAAATATTTCTTTTTCCTATTTTTCTTGATTACTTGTTGGCCTTCAAATCTCTATGCAGACTCTATTCAAATACAATAAACCTGAGATGAAACATCTAACAAAACCGCATCTAGAGATAGAAAATAAAAATTTCTATGGCATTTCTCCTCACCTTTAATTCTTATTATTGATTATAATTGCAAAAATCAAGAGACCTCATTATCACCCAGGGTTATATGAGTAAAATTTGCTTAACATTTCTTTCCTTGTTTTCCTCACTTGTACAACTATGCATAATAAAACAGACATTGACAGGATTCTCTTAGGCTTAAATTCAGTTCAAAAAATTAGGGAGCAAATAAAAAAGTTCTTTAAGAAAAGGTTTTTTGCAAAGACTAGTCAACATTTATAGAATGACTCTGGGCAGGTTATTTAACCCCTGTAACTTTCTGCTTCTTTATTTCTAAAAATGGAGAAAAATATTAGTAAACGCAGGCACTCATAAATGCATATCTTTTTCCTCTCTGTTATCAAAACTAACATTTAAAATGTCAGAATTCTAGATCTAAACCTAGAACCCCATCAAGTAAGAATAAACTGATTACCTTTTTGTTTGTTCTCTGGGGATATCTTACTCATAAATGCCATAATTTCTACAAGTCAAACTATTCTGATTACTATTCTTACTGTACTTTTTCATTATGATAAAATGCCCACTTTATCTTTAAATTAAGTGCCACCATTTGACTCCTTAACTCCCAGGATTCCATTGTCTCCACTGTTTATAGGTATCTAGTTTAATGGTTTCCAGAAGATGAGTTGACATTCAAACAACATGAAAAAGCAAGGAAATAAACCACTCCAAACAGCCCACAGCACTTCAACAACTGATCCCATTCACACCACAGTGGAGGAAATGTTAGATAAATAATTTAGAAAGTTTCAAGGATATTCAAGATGGCAGATTAGAAGAAAACCACATTTCCAGTTGTTCCATGGCTCTGGAGTCAAGCAACAGGAGTACTATTTCTCAAGAAGGTGGGTGAAAGGGAATTCACTGAAGTTTAATATTGAATAGTTAGAGTCTCTCATAGACTTAAATATGGTGCATTGAACAAAGAACAAGAAGGAGTATATTAGAGCAAAGTTTGTTATGGCAGTGGTGAGCTGGCTCACCTCAGACAGGAAGCAATAATAGAAACACAACAGTAAACTTTGACATGGAAAAACCTATAGAACATAAAAGCAGATTAAATATAGCTAATCCAGAGATGGCACAGTGAACTGGTGTTTTATAAGTGACAAGCAGGGAGCCATCTTGAGAAGGCCATGTTGCAGCTTGGGAAGCCTGAGAGAGTATAGCAAATATTGTCATACTGTCCTGGCAAGAGCCTACCATGTGGCCTAGGGTGTACCTTATAGAACCCAAGTGAAACAGGCATAGAGAAGATCAAAAGATATGGAGAGGAGTACAAATCAGTTTCCCTTTGAGTTTGGCAGCTCATTTGACCAACTAAGAGGGTGAGAAAACTCAATGGACAGGCATGATTGTTCTTAGGCATTAAGTCTGAGAAGGCCCTATTCATAGGCAGTGGGATGTATGAGACTTCTGGTGGGTTGGTTTCTCTGTCTCACAAGTATAATTCTCAGGACTTTCTTAAGAACCAGGCTCACAGCACAGCTCACCATTTACCTGGCCTAGGAGTTTGTTGATATAATCTCTCCAGAGCAGATACCACCCCAAAAAAGGCTGTAAGGCCTGACTGGAGTTAAGTTCCATCCCCAGGAACTCCCCACATAGAACTGTGCATTAATCCCAACTTAAAAGTACATCAATCTGATCTGCCCAGACAGAATTCCAAAGTACTTCCCATTCCATGCTACTATATACTGATGAGAAGGGAAGTTGAAAACTATTTCAGCCAGCTTCACTTTTAGACCACTCTATCTGGCAGCTCAGTGAGCAACACAAAGAGGAAGAATTTCAACCCCAAACTTTGTGTGTGCACTCATGCTCCTCCTCTTCTCATACCCGTCCCCCCCCCCTCAGTTGGCATAGGCAATCAATCACCAATCACCATTCATCCTCATTAACAGCTTTAACCACCTCAGTGGTTCTCCTCCTCCACTTCCTCCTCCATGTGTGTGTATGTTCTTGCCATACTAATTAGTTCATGCTACGTATACATATATGACGTGGTTTTCTCCTCATTTCTGCATTTTTTATAATTGTTAATTTTCCTTGTCTTTTGAGGGGTAGGTTTTTTCCTTTTTTTTTTGATAGTTTCTCTTCTTTCTCTTCTTCTTCCTCCAACAGCCAACTTCTCTCATCTCTCCCATTACTTAATTTTTCTCATTTATTTTTTTCCTCCTCTAGAGTCATCACTTGCTACATCTCTTCTGCTTTCTCTATGTTCATATTCTGAACATTCTAAACATTTTTCTGCCTTCCTATCACATTTTCTTTTAATTAAATGTATTTTTACCATCTTTTAGAATTATTTGGTTTATACAATTCCTGCCTTCCCCATTCATGTTCTTTCAGTTATTAGTACTAAGGATGACAGTTGACAACTGCTGTTTAATACCCAGAGCTAGTTGACAGCTACTTATTATTTTTGCTGTTAGCAATTGCTGACCACACTATTTCTTTTTTTCTAGTAATTAGTGTTGTAGATGTTGTTACAAGCATAGGGTATTTATTTTAATGCTGTACATTGTTTGCTTCTATTGCTATTGTTTCCCCATTTTCTGTGAGGTGCTCTTGAATGTACTAGTACACTACAAGTACACAGGGTGGAGACTACAGCTGAATTACATCTAGCCTAGTGACAGTACAACTTCCTTCACACACATATTAACCAGGCATAAACTACAGCAATACTTTAATGTGAAGAATAAAAGAGGTAAGATAGAGAATTCAAAAGAATGATTATAAAGATCAATGAATTTCAAGAGAACAGAGAAAAACTCCTGAATGAATCAAGGAAGGCAGTACAGGATATGAATGAGAAATTCAATAAGAACCAAACAGAAGTCCTGGAAATGAAAAGCACAATAAGTCAAATAAAATGTTCAGTTGAAAGTCTTTCAAATAGAGTAAATCATACTGAAGACAGAATCTCAGAGCTGGAAGACAAAGAGACCAGCTTTGAACATTCAGAGAGTATTACAGAAAAGAAAATAAGTAACCATGACAGAAATATATGAGAAGTCTGGGACAAGATTAAGAGATAAATTGAATAATCATTGGAATTCAAGACAGTTGTGAGATGCAAGCTAATGGCATAGATAACCTCTTCAGGAAAATAACAGACAATTTTCCAAACCTTAAGAATAAGATAGACAACCAGATACAGGACATAGGCTAATGGTATAGATAACCTCTTCAGGAAAATAACAGAAAATTTTCCAAATGTTAAGAATAAGATAGACAACCAGATACAGGATGTATTCAGAACTCCAAATAGACAAGATCAAAAAAGAACCCCCTCCACAACACATTATAATTAAAATGCCTAACAGAGAACACGGATAGAATTTTTAAAAGCCTTAAGAGAAAAACATCAGGTCAAGTCACATTTAGAGGCAATCCTGATTGCCTCTACATTTCATTTATTAGCACAAACTCTAAAATCCAGGAGGGATTGGAATGATGTGTTTCAAGCCCCAAAAGAAAATGTCAACCAGGATTGCCATATCCAGCAAAGCTATCTTTCCAAATCAAAGAAAATAAAAACCTTCCAAGATAAGCAGAAACTGAAAAAAAACATGACAATTAAACTGGCACTTACAAAAAATAGTAAAGGAAATACTACACACAGAAAAAATAAGAACCTGGAAGTTTTCTTAAATGGACAAATCTCATTTGAATCAATGATAAGTAGATCAAATTAAACATTTGAAATAATTCGTAATGGCAGAAATTAATAAATATTTCTGTATAACAAACACTGAATGTAAATGGTCTCGACTCTCAAAAGACATAGGCTGGCAGAATGGATTAAATAATAAGACCCTGACTCACAATAGGCTGAAAGTGAAAGGATGGAGATGGAGCCTGAAAATGGTAACTACTCTCATATCCAACAAAGCAGACTTTAAGTCAAAAATAACCAGAAGAGACAAAGAAGGTTACTTCATACTGGTAGAGGGAACAATCC